TATATATATATTGATTGAAACTATTTGCTGAGGAATAAAACAGTGTGGGAGAACTGAAGTACTTGCTTTTAAGACCTAAAATATGTGTGATTCCAAAAAATAATTCTAAAGAAGTCACACTTATGTCTTGTTTCGCGTCTATGGGTTTTTGACGAAAAGAACATCCTTGCCTCTGCGGTGGTGCAAACATGAACGCATTATTTTCTTCAGTATATTGTGTACACCGAGGAAAGTGGAATCTACCGTGATTCTAATGTTCAGGTGGAGGTACGTGAAATAAACATATGAAATCATGTTGGTGGTATTCTAAACAGTCGTTTTAATGTGTTGGCATTCCTATCTATTGACGTGGGAGGAGGCGGAAAAGCAATATATTCAGTCTACTTTCCAGCAGAGCGAAAAATTGTCACCAACAGCACGTTTAGTATTCATGACAATATTCAAATTATGCATTTCATAACACTAAGAGGAAGAAAAGTTTCGAGATGCCGCGCATACTTGCTAGTTTCTTAAAGAATTGAACACTTATTTTTGTCCTTATGGAATCTATTACTGTTTTAGTAACTGTTATTAACTGACATTCTTATTGTATATCTTTTACGTTTTAAATTCTTTTACTGAGCTTTCATGCAATAATAAATATAAAAGAATAAAGTCCTTTATCTCTTTTGAAGGCGTTTAATTTATTACACATGTTTATTTCATTTGTAGAGGCGAAGATGTTTTAGGCGCATAGAAAAACTTTTAGTATCTGATTACAAGTTTTAGATTTACCTCACAACACTTTCAGACTTTAATTTCAGGGTTGATGGGCATACTAATATAATCATAATCATTAATATTTTATTTTATTCATCCAGAGTATTTATGAAATCATGGATTAGACATGTAGTCATATGGAAACCTTTATTAAATACGGTTTGTACAATTATGTAAATATGTATTATTTCCACGCAGTCAAAAATAATACTATCTTAGTCAAAAATAATACTATCTTTGTTTATGTATGAAACATCCCATTTCCAATTCCTTGAAACATTATTTTGTGCTGCTTATAATACACCTTTGACTATTTTCTTAATAGGCATTACATTTCTTAAAATTTGTAAATATTATTCATATTTCCATTGGGAATATTTATCATTAGAATTTTATATTTCGATCCTCTAATTTACTTTTTGTATTTTGTAGAGTATATTTGTTTTTACTTTCATTGTACTTACCTGAATGATCTCAGATATTTAACTGAGGATCAATGATCGTGTGAAGTAAAACGTGTAGTGTACTCCATCTTGAAAGTTGGTGCATCGGAATGACAATTTTATTTTTTCGAGTAGAGCAAAGTACTTTTACAAAAATGTCGTAGATTCCATTTTAGGTGAACTCTCTATTTTCGACAATTGCAGTAAATTAACATCGAATAACTACAATTTTGATGTTATATATTTTCATAACTAATGAAATCTGTTTAAAAATAATATTTCTATAATGTTATGCACACATTTTTGAAGAAAGTAGTTTCCACGTCATTTTTGCTTTGCTTATATTTTAAAAAATAGTTTCTCAAAAGGACATCAAATCTGTTCTACAATTGTTTCCTCGAATAGATCAAATTACGACTCTAAAAATAGCAACAGAAGCTATTTTTGTTGAAAATTGAATTTTTGTGAACTGTAAGTTACAAATAATGCGAGAAAGCATGTGATTTTGTAGGCCCACTAGCTTTTATTCATAATCGTCAGCATTCGTAATTGTCACTTGTCAGTCAACATACAGCTACTTAAGATGGTCTCACGAACATAATCTTCTTCTACATTCACAATTTTGAAGATTACTACCGCATCCGTTGAGTAATTACCGTGCGGCGCTTAAGGCACTCTTCACCAAAGATGCATATCGTGGGCGACTCACTGTGGGAGGGTTCTCCACATTTCGAGTCTGGGCCTCTCCTCCGCGTCTGCAGCGGCGTGGGCGAGGCGGCGGCGGTCCTGTGTCATCGCCCTGTCGCGTTGCCCGCCCCCGCGCCGCCTGGTCCACGTTGCGATGCCGGGAGTCTCGCTCCGGCTGCGCTTCCAGATGCCTGTCCCCGGAGCGCAAGCCGTCGCCCATAGCGCGACGACCGAACGTGGAAGAAGTCGTACGGAAGGATGGTTAATGTTTTCAATATATTGATATTACTTATACTGAAAGGCTAATATTTATGAAGTATACAAAATATATTTGGGTACAGGGTTTTTATTCGAAGATGCTATAAAAGTGGTAAAGAAAGAAGTTAAATTAACAGAAAACAAATGCATAATATGGTCAGACGCATGTGAAATTCTGAAATCATCTGATTCAACAAACGAATGGAATATGAAATTAGTGAGTGTTCTGAGATTGAAAAATAATTGTTCTGAACTTGAAATTGACATTTTGTATTCCCTAACAATACGAAACGGTACTTTGTCGGTGTATTTCAGTACACGAAAACAATTTGTCGATATCAATATACCGAGACTCTTATATTGAAGGAAAATACTAGTATATATGAAAAATAGGTACATCGTGTGCATCCCTACTCGTACGACATTTCCACAGCGGTTACAAGGAAGTTCGCGGTTTACACAAGTTGCGTGAGTGTTATGTAACTTTATTTTTCTATTCTTGACTACCAAGAGTGACTCGTTTGTGAAGATACATTTGGATCTCAATTATGATTGTCGATTTACGGTATATCTTCAGCCGGATATTGGCAGAAATAGAACAATTTGAATTTAATATCCACTTAGTGATTAACGGACTTAATATAACCCCCCCTTTTTTAAATTTTATCCTCCATGTGGACTTTTCGCTCAATTAATTCGGATCATGTACGTGTTTATGTCTGTCTAATCATTTAGATTTGTTTAAATAACTACTTGGTGCTGTATTTTTTTATCTTGAAGATTCTAATCAGTCAAAATACAGTAAAAAGCATGCATTGGAAATAAAAATAAAATGCACATTAACTTTGTAAAATTAAACACGTGTATTGAGATTTCAGTATTTGATTCTCTGCGACGAAGTTCTCAGTTACTCATAATAGTTCGTCTTACCTCTCCGTACGATTTTCTCATCTATATCGAGTCTACATACGATCGTATGGCCGAAAATACTCCAAATAACCGGTGACCAATATCACTATTACATCAATCGTTATTGTATGAAGTGAATTTAAAATATAGATTTTTAAATAAATATCTGTGGCATCTGTCATCAAAACGAAAACCTGAAGTCAAAGTGTTACTTACCCATGTTTTTAATTTATACTTACCTATTACGTTCCTCGTTCGGCGGAGCCCACGCTTGAAATTATCAGCACCCGGTGAAGCTCTTCTTGAGCCCCAGCTGAGAGACGTGCGATGTTGCTTCAGTGTTGTGCGATATTCATTTTCATATTAAATGATATAAGAACAATGGCATGTGGTGTTGGAAATTGCGTTTTAATCTCGTATTTATCAATAAGTCTAAAAATATAATTGTTCCATTTTTCTATTTTTGATTTTGGAAACATTTTTAAGAATTTTTTCACACTACTCTTCCATGTACGTATTTGTTTTCTTTCTCGAAATGGCTGTTTCAATAAGAAAGCAACTTCAACACAGCTAGCGTCATCCCACTTCCCTGTTGTGATAAATGTGTGAAGTCTTCCAAATCAGAGCAGAAGTGTCCCTCGTACTAGACAGGAAACCAGAGTGGTGATTCGTTCATCTACTATCTTTAGACTCACCCGGAAGTTAAACAAAAATAAGCTTTAAGGATACGTGCACATTAGCATACAAACAGGATGAATGCTCGAAATAAATGTTACTTTTTGTTGTTCGGAATTCAACTGAATGATTATCATACTAAAGATGTGAAAATATTTTTTTTGTCCAACTCTTGTAGTGTCAGTGTGTATTGACCGTCTCCAAAGTAGATTTTATAATTATTATTCATATGTAATATGTGTGGTGCGCAGATACGTTCCATTTTCCGCTGTATTTTCTACCAAAGTTTCTTGGGCTGTGGTAAAAAAGAACACTACCATTTACGTGGGACGAAATGGATCGGGAAGGTAGGTGAACAGTTCCTTAGATAGAACTGTCGCGGTGTTAGCCTAGTAAGCCCCGTAGCGATTGTATTCCGTGAACATTCCACCGCATTCATTTCCAAGGATGGTTTTATTAAGTTCCCTCACTTGTTTACAGTGAGAGAAACGTAAGAACCGTTGTTAATGTGTTAGGTTTACGTACTTTCCTTTTAATTTTGTTGCCCATTGTCAACTATATTTACGAAGGAAATGTCACACAAAGTTTATTTCTGAATAAATACATATATTCAGTTTTCGAATATGGAAGCTGCAATGTCCCCTTTTAATAACTCCATCATACAGGAAGGCAGAGGACGCGATCTTCCAGCGACTGTTTCGTAACACGTAGTATACTACATTGTAGTTTTAATATAATATTTCCAAGAGGTTTGTCACAGTTATTTTTTAGTCTCGAAGGAAGTAGTCATAGGTGTAGTCTTAGAATTCGAAAAATACGATTGTTTCTGAAAAGAATTGTAACGAACGTAATAAAAAATCTAAATGAAAGAGTTACTATGGAGAAGATCCTCACAGTAATAAGTATTAATAGCATGTAGTCCCTAAGCTAATCGTTCGTGAAAAATGGGCCAGCACTTCGTCGCTAAACAGTCGCTGGAAGAAAGAACAACTCTCGGTGCCGCGGAGCGGACCTAGGCCACAGTCCAGGGCACATCCAAGCCCTTCCGGGGCACGAAAAAATAGGAGTGTGCAAACACGACTCATAAAGAAATACTAAACAATTTTGAAAAGTTATCCCCGGAGACCAACTAACCCACACACGGCGTGCCAGCAAGGTCGCATGGCGTGCGATCGCCGGCCGGCGGCGGGCGGCGGGCAGCCCCGCGCCCTCGGAGGCGGC